GCCGAGAAGTGCGTTCTGGCTACTAGGTACGACATATATATATATATATATATATATATATATATATATATATATATATATATATATATATCGCTAGAATTCCTTGACATAATATTTTTTGGCGGGAGAATTAATCCCCATATGTCGGGTAATGGTTAATGAACTAATTACGACAGGTTGGGAAGCCTGGGTGATCTGGCTCCTGTTATTACCACCATTATATATATGTCAGGCTGCCTGATTATCAGTATTTCTGGGAATAACAAGTAATTATATTTACTGGTTTGAGTTTCAGTAACAAAACGTGAATCATGAAACATTATAGATCATTTAGGAAGCTACTGTTTTTTTTTCTCAGATTGATAAATAATGGAACTCTGTCTGACTTCTGACGTCTTGGAATCTACGTCCTTACTGTCATTACTGATGTTAATGGGCATAAACTAACATAACTTTGATTCTTTCTCATCACAATGTAATGATGCACATCGGGGTAATTTTAGTTATCACAGTTTATGTTAGTTCGTAATCTTCGTAAGCTTTGTGTTTGAAAAGGCCCAGAGGTGGTTGAAATTGCAATATACAATATTTTCTCACTGTTACTTTGCACATTGATCTGACAATTGCAATGATAAATGACAAAAGTTTATCGGGATACATTTTTCCAATTCTCTTGATATCATAGAAAGAATTCTTAGACTACAGAGTGTAGCCTAAGTTTGAGTGTAGCCTGTGCTACAAGAGCTATAGAGTGTAGCCTGTGCTACAAGAACTATAGAGTGTAGCCTGTGCTACAAGAGCTATAGAGTATAGCCTGTGCTACAAGAACTATAGAGTATAGCCTGTGCTACAAGAACTACAAGTGTAATTCTTGTAGCACAGAGTCACTCTTCCTGGACCCTGATGATGATGATGATATGAACAAACAAGCTGATGATCTCACCATGGTTGAATACTCACCATGGTGAATACAATGGGTTTCATGTGCTACTGAATACAATGATTTCATGTGGTGGTGAATACAAACAAACACACCCACACAAAACTTCACCAACATCAGGAAAGTCCCAGTGCAACACACGCATAATAAACAGCAGAAAACACATAATTTTTAAGAGAAGCAGCGAGGCATCACACAGTCATTGCTGCAGCGACCGGGGTTTGGCCTGCACCTCATCCATAATCCTTCGCTTATGTCCCAACCCCCACCCACAACCTCTTGATAAAGTTGCACCCTCAACCCCCACCCACAACCTCTTGATAAAGTTGCATCCTCAACCCCCACCCACAACCTCTTGATAAAGTTGCACCCTCAACCCCCACCCACAACCTCTTGATAAAGTTGCACCCTCAACCCCCACCCACAACCTCTTGATAAAGTTGCACCCTCAACCCCCACCCACAACCTCTTGATAAAGTTGCACCCTCAACCCCCACCCACAACCTCTTGATAAAGTTGCACCCTCAACCCCCACCCACAACCTCTTGATAAAGTTGCACCCTCAACCCCCACCCACAACCTCTTGATAAAGTTGCACCCTCAACCCCCACCCACAACCTCTTGATAATATTACCCCCTCAAACCCCCAGCTACAACCCTTAATAATGGCAGAATCACACTCAAAGGAATAATGGAAGTTCCTCAACGAGGTGATTGGGGTTACGAAAGACAAAGAAGCTCACCTTGGGTCTGGAGTCTTCTGAAGTCTTGTAGGCAGCTACACTAGGCTCCTGAAGCTTGGGGAGCCAAGGCATGATGCTGAGGTGATGGAAAAGCCTCAAGTCAGATGGCACTCTTAAATCTATGTTCATACACTTAAATTTATTTCAATTCACTTACATTTCCCGCACTTAAATTAATTATTACTTAAATCTATAGTGATGAATATAAATCTATTTTCATGTTCGTAAATCCATTTTCATGTATGTAAATCTATTTTCATGTACTTAAATTAATATTCATAAATGTAAATCTATTTTTAGGTACGTAGTTCTATTTTCATGCACTTAAAGCTATGTTTTATTGCAGATATGTATCCTGAATTTATGTCACACTTAAAACTAAAAGGTATTAAGTCACACATATTTCAGGTAGATTCACTTAAAGTTATAACCTTCACTTAAAATCTAGGCATATACTTAATATCTACGTCATGCACTTAAACCTAGGAATTGTTTCACTGCAAGTATGTGTCATGAATTTGTTACTTACTTCTGGTAGAATCACTTATATTTAAATCATACACTTAAAATCTAGGGTTTATTGAGATGTGTGTTTCACTCGAAGAATGTTGCAATGAGCCAAGAATGTCAACGACTGCACAAATGTACAGATATTACTGGGTAACACTTGTGTCCCTGAGAGGCACTAACAACACTGGGTAACACTAGTGTCACTGAGAGGCACTGAGAAGCACCAGAAGCACCAGCAGCACTGAGTAACACTGGTACTGCCGGGAAGCTCCGGCAACAGTAGATAACACTGGTGCTACTGAGGGACCCCGGCAGCGTCGATGTAAACAATAACACTGCGAATCCGGATTCACGGGATGTGTTCATGAACGGTCTGTAGCAAAAATCCGCGAAGCCGGCAACCACTCTCAACCAAAAATTTTTGAAACTGGAAAATCTGAACTATAAAATCAAGAAAAGGCACGTAATTTTAATGGAAAAAATAAAAGCACTGACAAAATGCACTGGATGACTCGACAGGCTTACCGTAAAAGAGCGGCGTCAGCATGGAGGACCAAATACGGATGGGAGCTGCAGTTGGGTTGGACGGTAGAGGCACGATCTTGCTTCTTAGTTCGTCCTCGTTAACAATGGCCAAATGCTCGTTACACTAGCCGCCAAACTCGCTGTTTATGAATGAAAAACGCTTTATGCTCGACTCATAACTGATGACGTATCCACTTTTCTCGAGTAGTGCTTCGCCTACGTCCACTGCTCGAACCACAACACGGTAAATGCTTTACCCACGTCCTACAAACACCAGCCCGTCCTCATAAACAAAGGCCAAAGTCCATTCCTTGCACCTGCCAAACCTCCAGGTATTTATGAATGAAAAACGGTTTACATAAGACCCATAACTGATGACGTCCGAACACTTCCGAAACAAGTGTTTCGCTGACGACTTTTGTTCGAACCACAACGCTGTAAATGCTTCACCCACGTACTACTAATCAGCCCGATGAATGTGTCTAGGGAGGACGGCCGCTGCTTTAAACAGCCAAGAATCTGGACGCATTGTATCACTACCAGTTGCCTAATGTATCATCAAATGTTATTGAATATTAATACTAATTAATACATGAGAACAGACATATTTCTAGTACACATGAGGTTAAAATTGACGAGAGAGTCTTGGGAGACGGTCGCTATCCCACCAAACACACACCGAAACTACGACGTTGGTACAACGTTCGAACAAGTTTTAACACCTCCTAACCAGTTATAACAACCAATATAGCAAGTTGTAACAACGTTCTAATACGTCATAAACACGTTAAGCCAAGATGTAACCACTTTATTACAAGTTGTAACAAGCGGAAAATAGAGACAGTTTCGGTTTGTGTTTCCAGGGTACTGCTCTAACGAGCCTGAACCTTGTTTCAACAAGCAGTTACGGTACCAACATGTTAATATTTCCACAATCTCTGGCGACTTTGTTTACATATGTTAAACAGTTTGTGAACTCCGAAGCACTAGGAGGCTGTTTATGACAATGATAACATTTGGCTGAGAAGTTCGAGTGCTCGTAAACTGCTTAATAAATATAATCATAGGCGCCAAAGCTTTAGAAAAGTTGTACAGGTTTGTAACAAGAACATGAATTATCAGGGGAAAGCGCCAAGTCATTACGACTATATAGCACTTGAGGTGCACCATTGTAGAGGTGCACCATTATAGAGGTGTACCACTGGAGAGGTGCACAACTGGAGAGGTGCACCACTGGAGAGGTGCACCACTGGAGAGGTGCACCACTGGAGAAGTGCACCACTGGAGAGATGCACCACTGGAGAGATGCACCACTGGAGAGGTGCACCACCGTAGAGGTGCACCACTGTAGAGATACACCACTGTAGAGGTACACAATTCTAGAGGTGTTGTCATGATCGTCGTCTAACAACAGTCCTCTTCTGCCCCAGGAGTCTTTTTTTCCCCATCTAGAAAGATCCCAGATTGCCCAAACGTCAACTTAAGTTAAGAATGAACGCGTCTAATGCGCGATTTTGGGAGATATTTAGTTGTAAAGAGGTACTGTGGCAACCTGTGAAACAAAATGGCGCCCGGGCTAGAAGCAAAACATCCGGGATCTCACTCATTGCAACGACACATGCCTTAGGCTCACACAACGAGACAGGTGAGTGGTGGTGGCCCAGGGGATTAGCCAATCAGCGACAAGCTTTCTGTGACGTCATCGGCGAGCCGGACCCAGGCAGCGCAGATCGGCTCACTGACCGGCCAGACGTCGTACGGGGAGGATGTGACCTTGGCACTCTCCTGGAAATCTGGAAGCGTAGTCAAGAGAGCTACTGAGGAATGTGGGGAACTGAAGGCTTTACCTTCGGCGCTGGGCGTAGGTGAATGCCCAGATGATTGCTGAAGGACGAAGGTGACCAAGACCGGCACCCACATCCCCTAGCCACCTGCTGGACAGAGCGCTAGTCTAGTGAGTCCTCAGACGAGGCACTGAGGTCCCTGTGTTTCGGACTAGAGCACCGTGGGCGGCGTCGGGTTAAGCGCTAACTCCATTGCGAGGGAAGAGGAGTACAGGGTGAGAGATAAGGAGACTTTAGAGAGCAGTGAAGGTTTGTCCCCCCAGCGCGTCTCTATAAGTCTCTGTTCTTCTTCTCGCCCCGTAACAGTGTACCACTGTAGAGATGCATCACTGTAGATGTGTACCACTGTAGAGGTCCACCCCTTGTAGAGGTGCAGCCTCATACAAAGGGATAATAGCGGCTCCTCAACGAAGTGGTAAGGTTACAAAAGACAAAGGTTCACCTTGAGTCTTGGGCCTTACACTGAAGTTTTTGAGCCGATGACGGGCGAGCCCAAAGTCCGTGAAGAAGGAGCAGAGAATACAGAAGCCAGTTGTAGTCTCTCAGATGTTGGGGGCTGTCTTCTGGGGCGGTGTGATGTTGGGGGCTGTCTTCTGGGGCGGTGTGATGTTGGGGGCTGTCTTCTGGGGCGGTGTGATGTTGGGGGCTGTCTTCTGCCGGCGGTGTGATGTTGGGGGCTGTCTTCTGGGGCGGTGTGATGTTGGGGGCTGTCTTCTGGGGCGGTGTGATGTTGGGGGCTGTCTTCTGCCGGCGGTGTGATGTTGGGGGCTGTCTTCTGGGGCGGTGTGATGTTGGGGGCTGTCTTCTGGGGCGGTGTGATGTTGGGGGCTGTCTTCTGCCGGCGGTGTGATGTTGGGGGCTGTCTTCTGGGGCGGTGTGATGTTGGGGGCTGTCTTCTGCCGGCGGTGTCATGTTCCGCGGGGCGCGGCAACCAATCACCTGCGAGTATGACCTAGAGGCGGGAAAAATACTCCGGCCGGCGGGAAATTTAAATTAATTAGAGGATCCCTCCACAGTAATGTTGCTCTCCCAACCTCAGACATAACCCCTCTTGATAATGTGTTTTGAAGGTAATTTTCCCCCCTCTCCTCCTATAGGTACTACAGGTGTAATAAGAATTCAGAGTTTCATATATGTGAGTGTGGCTGTGAGTTCCCAGTACACTATGAGAGGGGAGAGAGAGAGAGAGAGAGAACGGACTAGTGAGAGACGTACGATATCAAGGGGATACTAATGAGGATAACACGAGGCATATAATAGCAAGAACCAAATCTGGATTCAAGAGAAGGGTGAGCAGACATGATAGAGCAAATGAACAGGAAGAGGGAGGACTCTGATGAAAGATGGAAGGTGATAAAGTTGATGAACGATAATAGGAAGAAACATATAGTGGAAATTAGTGAGAAAACACAAACGTCGGAGAAAACTGTGAAACAGGGCGTATAAATGACAGGTTTTGGATGAAAGAAAAACAGAATATGAGAGAACTGGAAAAATATAATATATAAAAATAGACTAAACGCAAAAGGGGAACAAAATAATAAAGGAAGTTAGGAAATGAAACGCACAAAGCTCACACAATGAAACAGATTGTAACAATGCAGCCCGTCCTCCAAACAAAGATCCAAAAGTGATTCCATGCACCCGCCAAACCCCCTGTTTATGAATGAAAAGCGGTTTACACACGACTCACAACTGATTTCGTTCGAACATATCCGGAACAAGTGCTTCACTGACGAGTTTTGTTCGAACCACATCGATATAAATGCTTCACCCACGTACTACAAATGCAAATAATCGCCAATCGAACCTAAATACCTAACCTAACCTATCCTATGCCTATACATGCACAATATGCTATATATATTATAATATTAATTTATATTTGAGAAAATTCTTGTTTTGAATGAACAACATGTTAAAATTTATGAATGCGTCTGTGGGGTCGACCGCTGGATGTAATGGACTTGAGTCGATGACGGGTTGAACAATGGACTGTGTCAGGAGAGGTCAGAGGCTAAACATGACAGCCATATGAGTATAACACTGTCATCACCAAGCAGTTAGATGCAGCAGATGGTAAACGTTGCCCACTAAATGGAAAACTAACAATTAATGAATGCACAAACAGGGAACCATTCAAAAGGAGAGAACACAATACAGTTATCTAACTGAAATAACAACATAGGGAACCGGAGCTGAGTGTAGGCAATTAGAGATAGGGTCCTTATACCTTGAGGTTACCTTGAGGTGCTTCCGAGGCTTAGCGTCCCCGCGGCCCGGTCGTCGACCAGGCCTCCTGGTTGCTGAACTGATCAACCAGGCTGTTGGACGCGGCCGCTCGCAGCCTGACGTATGAGTCACAAACTGGTTGATCAGGTATCCTTTGGAGGTGCTTATCCAGTTCTCTCTTGAACACTGTGAGGGGTCGGCCAGTTATGTCCCTTATGTGTAGTGGAAGCGTGTTGAACAGTCTCGGGCCTCTGATGTTGATAGTTCTCTCTTGAACACTGTGAGGGGTCGGCCAGTTATGTCCCTTATGTGTAGTGGAAGCGTGTTGAACAGTCTCGGGCCTCTGATGTTGATAGTTCTCTCTTGAACACTGTGAGGGGTCGGCCAGTTATGTCCCTTATGTGTAGTGGAAGCGTGTTGAACAGTCTCGGGCCTCTGATGTTGATAGTTCTCTCTTGAACACTGTGAGGGGTCGGCCAGTTATGTCCCTTATGTGTAGTGGAAGCGTGTTGAACAGTCTCGGGCCTCTGATGTTGATAGTTCTCTCTTGAACACTGTGAGGGGTCGGCCAGTTATGTCCCTTATGTGTAGTGGAAGCGTGGGTCTACCATAAATTTCAAAGAGTCTGAGAGAAATTTCAGTGGGAGTGTAGCAGCTGGAGCCAGACACAACAGCACGAGAAAACAGAAGAATTAGCTCACTGAAGCATGTATTCACACATTAAATTGCACAGAGAATCCTGCTGAACCGAAAATGAGATCTCATATCAGCCTATCACTCATTCTCCCTACAACACTATCTATCAGGGAGCCGAGCGGACAGCACGCTGGACTGTGATCCTGTGGTCCCGGGTTCGATCCCGGGCGCCGGCGAGAAACAATGGGCAGAGTTTCTTTCACCCTATGCCCCTGTTACCGAGCAGTAAATAGGTACCTGGGTGTTAGTCAGCTGTCACGGCCTGCTTCCTGGGGGTGGAGGCCTGGTCGAGGACCGGGCCGCGGGGACACTAAAAAGCCCCGAAATCATCTCAAGATAACCTCAAGATAACATTGTAATCAAAAGGTTGGGACCCTGAATGCAAATCTACCATCTGAACAATAGCTTTAATGTCAGTATATGACATGCACAAATATTTCAATGAATGCTAAACTCTATGGACATTTGGTTGTATATTCTTCCTTTTATTTATATATATACAAGAAGGTACATTGGGTTGGTGAGAATACATTGGATAGTACAGTATTTACATTCTTGTAAAGCCACTAGTACGCGCAGCGTTTCGGGTTTCAGCGTTCCCTTCTTCCCTTCTTCCCATTATTTATCTCTCCCTGCTTCCCATTCTTTCTCTCTCCCTGCCATTCTTTCTCTCTCCCAGTCGACAAACACGTTTGAATAACGTTGAATCAACATTCAATCTGCATTATCGATATATATGCAATGTCGATAACAGCGGATAAAGTTTTTGGTAAACACTCTATGGATAGTCAAAACCTTCATTTCAGACAAAGTACGAGTTGTTGGTTGTCGCAATAGGAGACAATTCTACTTAGGGGAGGAGCATGGGGGTCGACCCCAACCACCCTATGACATCATAAAATCACAGTTTATACTGGAGAGTTGTGTGAGGCTAACCGCACCTCTAATGACATCAACCTCAAACAGATAAGCAGATAAATAGACATTCTTTTTTATAGATATAGATACAGATTTTGATTTATGACATTTCTGGACACTATCAGATATTTATTAAGTTCATTCTGGAAAGCCTATTCTTTAAATAATATATTTTTGTATATAATATTTTCTAGTGTTTGTAAGACTTGAATACAAGCAAGAATGAAGCCAGCATAACTCTTCACCTTGAAGAACAGGTCCAGGAAAAAATAGATAGCGTGAATGCTTGAAAATAATAGTGATATATCCTGTCGTGTCAGGAGTTGACCCAGAGAGCTGAGGGAGTATAGCCTCAGGTTGCTGACTGGTGGCAGCCCCAGTTGGAGCCGTCTGACTCAGGCCACGATCAATAGATGGCACTGTAGTCGTTTGTCAATGGCACTTGAGACGCGCGAATAGGCTCAGGTTTAAGGACCTTTTTTTGTGTTTTTTTCGTGATGAAAGAAATTTTGAAGAGCTTTGAATCTCGTAGTATTTTGTGGTACAATTCCTAGCACAAAACTGAACGGTGTTCAGGTAGGCTATCATGGGTGGCAAGGGGTTTATTGCTTTTCAACTGCATATACAGCTGTGAAACTTTCTCTCTTGTCCTTGCTTTCTAGCAAATTGAAAATTTAGAATATAATAATTGAGTAATTATAACTACGTTTAAGTAGAATTTTAGAAAAATAAATCGCTTTATTGCTTGGCTTTCTTATATTTTCATGAAGATATACTATTTTTTAGTAAAATTTGTATGGTATCATTGCAATTTAGGCCCACCTCGATCTAGGCCTACGCTGTTGTTGTTGTTGTTAAAGATTCGCTACCTAGAACAAAAAGTTCCAAGCAGCACGGGCTATGGTGAGCCCGTAGTCCTTAGGCCTACTCATGGTCGCTATTTGTGATATGTGTCTAACCTTGCCCTCATCTCGAGGTAAACTATCCCCATGGCATCATCACTACGATGTTGGCAAACAGCATCATTGCCATCTTGGCATACTCCAGAAATCATCAACATCTAGGCCTACCCATGACATCATCAAGAGGCAGGCGAGGAGTCACAATAACGTGGCTAAAGTATGATGACCAGACCACACAACAGAAGGTGAAGGGACGACGACGTTTCGGTCCGTCCTGGACCATTCTCAAGTCGATTGTGACAGTCAATCGATAATCAACTTGAAAATGGTCCAGGACGGACCGGAACGTCGTCGTCCCTTCACCTTCTAGTGTGTGGTCTGGTCAACATCATCACGATCTAGGCCTACTTAGGAACTACAGAAAATTATTGAAGAAAATATATTGTTATTGAAGACTTGGACCATTAGTTGATCTGTCCGATTTCAAGAATTGTGGAGGTCAAGTTTGAATGGTTTTTGTGTGCTAAAAGCTTGGGAATCTAGGCAATTCACCTAGGCCTATTGAGGCCTATGGTTATTAATCCGAGGAAGCGTCAGTATTACATTGCTTTAATTACAATTAAACACCTAAATTTGTACGTTGTTGATTGAGCACAAACTACTTTTTTGGCATTATTTCATTTATATTCTAGTTTTCCCTATATTCACCCCAGAATCCCACCCACAACAGTTCACTAGATCCCCATGTACGTATTTATTGCAAAGTATACAGAAGCATCAGGCGTGAGGAAATGTCTTCATTTTGTGAAGCAATCGAACCCGGGATCTCTTGGCTGGTGGGAACCGACATATGTGACCACGGCGCCATAGGACCGCCGCTCTGAGATCAAAGTGGTCAGGAGTTGACGTCTCGGGTGTGTGAGAGGACGAGGTCTGAGCCTCCTGCAGGAGCAGCGTCTCTGTTGCACACATGCACATCCTGCAGACACAAATAGGTCAGTATAAATAGGCGATTACACAACCACACACACACACACGAGTACCCACATGACCCACAGGGACGTTAGAAGGAACTTTTTCAGTGTCAGAATAGTTAACGGATGGAATGCATTAGGCAGTGATGTGGTGGAGGTTGACTCCATACACAGTTTCAAATGTAGATAT